GCGCTCTGTTTATATAATTAAATAATGGTGAAAACAGAGCTCGAATAAAGGAAAAGTGATGTGAGTATCATATCGGGAACAGCCTATCAAATAAAAAAAAAGAAGTTCTTTATCAACTGTTTGAAAATGTGCCCCTGGCGGCAGGAATTAAAATGTGATTACTTGCTGGCAAGGTGAGTGCCATACATATTTAACACTAGGGGCCCCTGGTATATCGCAGATACAACTTAACCAGGACACTTAATATAATACAGTCATACCTGTATTCTAATGAAGTAACATATCGAATCAATGTCGCTGAGTAGCATTGTGGTATAACTAATCAAATAATGACAGAAACAGTGCTAAATGAGCAATGATGTAAAGATCATATCAGGCACAACCTATTAAATAAAAAGTTCTTTATCAACAGTATGAAAAAACAAAAGTCCCCCCAGTGAGAAATTAAACCATGCATCATTGTTTGAAAATGTGTCCTAGTTTCATGGGTTTATCAGGAAACGAATATTTCGTATATATCACAGGGGCGGATTTAGGGGTGGGGGCCCCCCGGCCCCGCCCCCCACTTTTGGGTGGTAAAAAAAAGGAAAAAAAAAGAAAAAAAAAGAGAGAAAAAGAAAAAAATGATAGCCCAGAATGCCTTAAATGTTATGTTCGGGCGTCTAGAACACAAACATTTCGCGGGGACCTGCCCCGGACCCCATACGACAGTGTTGTCTTAATCGGCCCAACTTTCCGGCCCTCCTTTTGGACATTTCTGGATCCGCCCCTGTATCATATATATCATATATATATATATATATATATATATATATATATATATATATACACTCAAAATTTTAAAAGAATCGTACTGATTCACAAATAGAATCCTGCAGCGGTGCCTAAATGCATTCTTCATTAGAATCATATTGATGATGGGTGACGATCATTTTGATTCAGGACTAGAATCAAATAGGTATGAATTGTGATCCTGTTATATAATCAAAATGATTGTGTCACAGAATCAAATTGATTCTACAATGGAATCAATACGATTCTGTCACGATATCTAAAATGATTATATGATAGAATCAATGTGATTCTGTAACAGAATCAAATTGACTATCATAGAACCATTATGATTCAATCACAGAATCAAAGTAATTCTATCTGAGAACCACTTTAATCATTAATGAAAGTAGATAAAATTTACTTTCAAATACCGTGCGAACCCATAGGAAAAGTTACTACACTGGACAACTGTGGCCAAATTTATCCCATTGTGTGCAAAATTCTAGGCTCTGTTCCTGTGCTTAACGGCGTGTGCGTGGGCGTGGCAACTCAGATGCGACAAAGTTTTCCATATGTATATTTTAAAAATGCAGTAAGTTTTGTTATGTAGAATATGTGTGAAAATATTATGTCTAGCATGTCTGCAGATGAAGAATGTAACCAACTTCACGGTGGCAAAAGTGATCCCTGATCGAATACCCATTTTCATCTAAAAAAACACACAAAGATTAGAGTATTTCAACAGTTTATTACTTTTATTAACATCAAATAGCTGAGTGCGCTATAACCATTTGGAAAAGTGGTAATACATACATACATTGCAGTATGCATTATTGATGGTATTCTATAAAACCTCTATGTAGAATAGTCCAAACACAAATGTTTAAGTACAAACTCCAGTAATATTAGTTCCACGCAACACAGCATAACAAACTTATTCAGCAATATGGATCAAATGAATGGTAGTGCAAAATATAACTGCTATGATATTTTCCCAATTCAAAATCACATAGAAATAGCATTTGTAAGTATAACACAAACACAAGCTCCGTAGTTTAGTGGTTTTGGCAACAGGCTAGTTACTTGGATTCTCACCCAAATAAAATTTTTTTGCAAGTATTCGATACAACAGTGGGTCACCTACATATCTATTGCTAATTACAGCTGCCTAGACCCAAGTAAATTTGACAAGCAGACTACTAATTATGTCATTATTAAATTTACATTAAAACAAAATTTGCTAGTTATTTGGACCGGTATCAAAAGCACAATTTTAGATAAGTAGACTGGAGCCACTATCACTGCTGCCTAGATTTACAGCGAAATTTGTAAAGCACACTCCATAAATTATCACCGAGATGCAGGGAAGTATGCCGGTGGTTAATAATTAATTTATTAAAGTATAACTCTTCAATTAAATATTATTTTACAGCAGATGGATTTTTTTTAATGTTTGGTTATTCGTCCCAAAAGGGACAACAACTTCGGGGTCGACTTTAATTGATCGTCGTGACCCACCAATACCTTTTGGATGAAGGTCATAGTCACTCCAATTTTTGGAGGATAGGCAATGTTAAACACAAAATAACAGGTTATCAGTAGGGCAACAGCTTCAATAAAAGAAGATACCTCCCCTAGCATCTCTTCTTCTGCCGATACAGAAAATTGCTTACAGTCAATGAGCGGACCAGTGAACACAATCACATGGAATGTCTTCCTAGAAGCTGTTCCCGGTTCTTCGTGAATTAGAAGCTTGATATCTTCGTTTAGTTGAAATGGAAGACTCAAAATCCCCAAACAGTGAGCAGCATCTGCCATGAAAAAGTTACAAATGTGAACAAAAAATGTAATTAGAAAAACAGATACAATAATAACAGTGATCTTTTAGTAAAGCCCCAACATTAATGGAATTGCCTGTAGTATAAGCTTCTGGTAATCCAGTGGTCACAAATTTATCAAACTACAATGTCTCAAATTATTGTTTGGTCCTTGTACAATATGTAAATTGTAAGCATTCAAGTGGATTCATAAGTTTAAACAGGCCTATCATATTTTTTTTTAAATATCTGTGGAGAGAAGAGCACTCAAAATAAAATTTAAAAAAAAAAATATTACTGCATGTGTGCTTACATTTTCGATCATCGTCATTGTCAACCTCCAGCATTTTTTCCTTCATTTCAGTAATACTTTGTGGTTGCTGCTTCTCAAATTTCCCTCTCGGCCTAGGCAGTCGTGATAGGGGCAAAAGATATGTATCTGTCCTACAGTTTATCTCATCTTTTGCATTACGGCCAGTGAGTCTCACAAATTCTGCAAAAAGCTGAAACAAAATGCTGAAGTTCAGATCAGATGCATCCACA